TGACTTTTCTACGCCTAGAAAAAGCCCGTTTACTCACCCAAGTGTAGTTGAGTTCACTTTGAAACTGTTTTCTGCTAGTTTGGCGGACTCATTTCTGAATTAATGATTCAACAGTAGTTACCTGAAACAACAAAGATCGAGAGGCACATTCTATGAGATTTCATTTTCATTTGCCGTCATCACTATTAATAGCTACCTGTGCAATTAATTACATGAACAAAGTTTCCTATTTGGTGGCACACTGTAGGAGCACGTCCTAGAGTTGGAGAGAGCAGGGCCCAGGGCCCAGGTGGCCAGGAGCCTGCGCTGCTCAGCACAGAAGCAGGAGGGCAAGAGGAATGAGGGGCAGACTTGGTGAAGGAAGGGAGTCTACGGAAGCTCTCTTCTGGCTGCCTTCGTTTTCTGAGTTAAATAGGAAGTAGGGAACCAGGCCATCTACAGTTTGAAGATTGGGGAGAAGTTGTAAATTCTGGGTGTTCTCAGAGTGGGGCGAGTGAAGAGAACAGGAAACTTGGTGGAGTGCAGCCCAAGAAAGGAAGAGGAGGGGAGAGAGTTAAGGGTCTGCAAGGGGCACGTGTGGTGGGTACGTGTGGAATCTACATGGGTGAGGAGGGCACGGAAGACATGGGATAAATGAGGGACAGCGATGGGGTTATATTGTGTCCCTCCCAAAAGCGGGTGGAGTCTTTTCAAGGTGTTGCCCTTCCTGGTCTGGAGCCCCTCAGAGCTCTGGGCATCCTCTCCGCTCCGCATGCTCAGTAACTCAGACCTCTGTGGAAGCACAGGCAGGGGCTGCTCTCTCCTCTGATCCCGGCTCCAGGGCCCCCTTGCCACTGTAGGCAGCAGCGGGAAGGACAGGGAGAGGCCAGCGTGCTGCACTCACATGCATTCTTGTTCCCAGGCATGGTTGGTGCAGCCGTGGCAGGAGGAGGTGAGTCTCTCTGGGAAGGAGGTCAAGCCCCCATCTGGCCCTGGGCCTCTGGGAGCCACCTCCCGTGACCCAGCCCAGGATGCCCTGGAGCCCCATGGTGTGGGTGGGCAAGGGTGAGTGGGCA